TGCAGAGATGAGGGCAGATCCGATGTCCAAATTTCATAACGCGCTTTATTCTGGTGCAGTACAAACTCGAATTGCTGTACTCAAGGATGTGGGCTTGTGTAAGTCTTTCTTTACTATCTCGTAACAAGAAGAGAAAGAGAAAAAGAATGTGAAGTTGATTTGAAGGCGGTTCTTGGGATTCAAATAGACCCTTTGGCGTATTTGACGGCTAAGTCTAATGGACTCGAAGAGGAGGCCCAAGGGATCTTGGAAGAGGCAGGGATGTCTGAAACGGATGTGGCCGACTTACCTGTGCCCAAGGCTGACCGTCTTGGCTTACCCAACGCCATCACCCCTACGGCTGACTATAATTGGCCGTTTGTGGGCGCGCAGGAGAGCTTCTTCGATAGAGCTCTCACTCAGGCTTCAGGGATGGATGTGGATGGAGAGCCGGTGGAGACGCAAGCTGCTGACCCACTTGATGATTGGGTTGGGGACGAGCAGGGAGGGGCTGCAGCGGCTGAAGAAGCTGAAGAAGCATGGGATTTGGCGGGTGAGGACTTAGCGGTAGAAGAGGCGGGTGCGGAGGGTGTAGAGGCGGAGGAGGGTGAGGGCGCAGATGGAGAGGTGAAAGTGGGTGTTGGTGAACAAGAACTCTGGGTTAGGAACTCGCCTTTGGCGGCTGATCATGTGGCTGCAGGCTCATTCGAGACTGCGATGCAAGTAAGTATTGTTTTATATCTTCTTCGAGCGTCAGAGAGAGATGATAACTAACGAGCATTTGGTCTAGCTCCTAAACCGTCAAGCAGGCGTGGTCGAATTTGGTCCACTAAAAGACCTCTTCCTGGCCACCTATCGATCCTCGCGCGCTTATCTTCCTGCCTCCGCTTCTCTCGCTCCGCTCGAGGTTTGTTTGCGTCGAGATCCTGAGGACGTCCACCCACGCAGCCTCTTGCCCGTACTCGCCCGCAGCCTTGAGTCTCTTACCCGGTTCGAGCTCAAGGCGGCATATGCGCACTTCCGTAAGGCTGAGTTTGTTGAAGCTTCGGGTGCATTCAGGCGCATCCTCCAGAGCCTTTTGCTCGTCATAGCGAAGGATGAAGCAGAAGTGACAGAGGTAAGGCACAATTTTCCTCCATCTGGTTTTTATTTTTGAGACAGTTGGGCTGAACTAAGGCTTGATTTGTGTAGCTATCTGAGCTTGTGATTACTTGTCGAGAGTACCTCCTCGGCCTCTCGCTCGAGATCGAGCGCAGGCGCGTAGCTGCCACTGAACCTGAGAATCTCAAACGTCAACTCGAGCTAGCAGCCTATTTCACCCACTGTGGCCTCCAGCCCGTTCACCTCATTCTAGCGCTCAGATTGGCGATGACGACATTCTCGAAAGCTAAGAACCTCGCTACTGCTGCTGCTTTCTCGAAACGACTACTCGATCTCAATCCAGCCGCGAATGTAGCTTCTCAGGTCTGTTTTTTTTATCTCCTTATTCATCTGCTTCCTTTTTTGCGTTGCTGATCCGAACGGTGGATTGTAGGCTAAGCAGGTCTTGGCTGCTGGTGATCGAAGCCCGAGGGACGCCATCGAGATAGACTATGATCCTTTCTCCTCATTCGATGTTTGTCCAGGATCGCTTACACCTATTCCAGCCGGAAGTGCGTTTGTGGACGAACCTTTCACGGGTGCAAGATACAAATCGGAATTTGCTGGATCAGTCTGTAAGCTTTCGGGACTCACAGAAGTAGGTAAGAAAGCAGCTGGGGTGAGGTGGAAGATTTGAGCTGTGGTCATCTCTCTCTCTCTCTCTTGTGTGTGGGTAGTTGGGGCAACGAAAGGCGTTTTTTGTGTGTGTATGAATCGTTTTTTTTATTTTAACTTTTGGTGTTTGAAATGTCGGAAGTTCGAGTATTTAGATCTGGTAGAAGAAGTGATGATGAATCTCAAAACAGAGCATATTTCTTTGGTCGGCCTTTTATTATTTGTTCTTTCAGAGTTTACTTTTTTTTCAGAGCGTAGGTAGGTACAACAGACAAACTTTAGAAGCCAATCAGAAGATGATGATGAAGGGAAGAAGGGGTTTAGGCTAGAAGGTAGGTTATGAACCTGATTGGAAAGCTAAAATACAAGCACCAGACGGACATGACAATGATCTGATCTAGAGACTCTGGCCAAACTGAAGATGTTTAAGAACTGCATCAAGTTTCCAAAGTCAACTGGTCAACTTTTTGAGTTGTCTTGGACAATAACAAGCTAGCTATACACATCAGTAAACAATTTTTCATAGCTCTACATCATTCAAAAACGGATTGATGAGAATTTTAAATTGCTTTAGTTTTAAGCTGTAACAACAAAAATGGGAAAACTCTCGTGTTTTACGATGGGATTTTGATGGACAATAGATCTCTTGCTTGTATTAAAATATGTTGATGAACTCACAGAGAATAAAAACCAAGACTAGAACATGTTTGGAAGGTTAAGATCAACAAACTTATAGACTAAAACTATGACTCTTAACTGAGCCTATTCATCCGCAACCCATCGTGTTAAAGGTACCTCTACTTGGTACATAACATTTCCTATTGCAGAAAAAATCACCGCGCTCATTCTATCCGCTTCATTCCCTCTTCAGCAGAACCGAAGCAAACCTCGATATCGGACTCTCGACAAAATTTCACTAGCTCAGTGTTGACTGGATCAAAGAATTCGTCCGAAAAGAAGAAGGTTTCCGGGTGCCGAAGATTTAATGATTTAAGATGAGGCCAGTTGTGCGTAGTGTTATCGTCAAGTCTCTAGTAAGTGTCTCTTCTCTCTCTCTCTTTCTTCCACGCACGCGCTCGTCGGTCAGTCAGGCCAAAGATGAATGGATGACCCGACTGTCTGACGAGGCGTTCAGGGTTTCATCTCCCTCTCTAACCTAACCTCCACGTCTCCATGTCTACATGTACCTATGGCTTTGACACAGCCGTGTCCTTTGCGTAATCCTATACCCTATCCTCAACACGTAGCAACTAGTTCATGTAAAGTATCCAATTTATCCACTGCACTATAATAAACTTCTAAAAAAATTTAAGCTATTACATTCTTTAAAGTTTTGTAAGATGGAGAAAGTGGGGATACCCAAAACAAGTTGTGTTAGTGCAGGTAGATAAAATTGTTTAGTTGGAACCCAGTTATCATCATGTAAGTTACGTTCAAACTCATGATTTAGTCTCGATTGAGCTGAGGTGCAAAACCCCTAAGTACTTAGGTTATAAAGTTGAGACACTGATAAGCTGTTGCAGTTTTTACATAAGCTTAAGAGTTTTTAATTGAGATACCCAAGAATTTGAATTCCAGGTTGAATCCTGAGAAATCTATAGAGTCAAGTGGAACTTTAGAAAGTTTTTTTGAGTTGTGCTAGTGTCCAACCCAATGAACTTTCTATGTCTTCCTTTGTAAAGAATTTGAATCCATATAAACTGATTGACACGAGTTTGGGTAATTCTTGAAGAGCATCATTGTGTGTCCGAGAGGCATTAGCAGAGCTGGAAAAGGGGAAATCCATCACCAAAAGAAAGAAAGCTTGATGGCAAGATGGGTGCTTAAGAACCTGCCCTCATCCTAGGAAATCTGCAGAGATACTACTATCCATGGAGCCTTAAAGCACTGCCAAGATATTTGTATCGGATGGGCCTATCCGATGTTCTATCACCCCAAGATATGGGATGCAGTCTCAGTAGGATTAGGTGCGATGGAATTACTATCGGTATCTAATGCTCTGACACCATATTGCAGTGTAACTCCATCGCACCTAATCCTACTGACACTGCATCGCATATCTCGGGGTGATAGAACATTGGATAGGCCCATCCGATACAAATATCTTGGCAGTGAAGAGATCCAAAAGAATCCCAAAGAGCAAAAGAGAGAAATAAAACCTTGGCACTGAGCCCAATCACAACTCAACTCCTACTTAGGAAGATCCTTGAGTCCATGTCCTTGCTCACTGGATTGTTGACTCTTTCCTTAAGACAGCACTAGAGCTCCAAATTTGTCCAGATGACTTGACATGAGGTTCCTTGTTACACCTGAGTCAAACACTGGAGGCCAGATATTGCACTAAAACCACACACCAACACTTACACAGCTGCCAAGCTTAAATCCACATGCCTTTGAACCTTGGAGAACCTCTTGAAGACCTTTGAGTCCCCACATGAATAGCCAAAGCCCTTAACAAGAGACCTGCCCTCCTCAAACCTAGTCTATACTTCCTCCAAACCATATCTATTGGCTTCCTGAGAATTCTCAGAGCTTGATGCTGTATAGTAGTCCTTGTTATGACACCTACAGCCTGAGATCCCACCTATGCACTGAAATTACCAGTGTTACAACTTGTATGCCTCCTTTACTTTTGATATACTAACAACAGAACCACCTTTGATGGATTTGTAGGTGTTGACTTGACCCTAGGCAGTCTTGACTATGTCCACACAATGTCAGTGACCTGAGATGTCCTGGTACTGCCTTCAACTACCAAATACAGGATGTTGCACCCTGTAGCACTCATAGTTTTGATGCTACAGCCTCCAAACCTCAATTTTCTGAGTCCAACATGCCCCAGATGATGTTCCCATGACATCTAAAGGCCAGGAGTGCCTTTTGGGAAGATAGAGGAAGATAGAAGAAGAAGAGCCTATGGTTGTGCATGCCTTTTGTCACCTTGTATTGGAGGTTTTGGACCAAAAGGACCTAGGAGCACCCTAACCTACCATGGGAACATACCCTAGAAGGCCTACCTTATGCAACCTTGAAGTATCACTCCTGGAAAACCATGGAGAAGCAGGGGACTGATTTTTAGCAGAGTTGAATGATTACCTAATGTGGGGATTGCTGGATGGGATGTTGGGGGGGAAATGGTAAACAGAGGCCCCACTATATACAACAAAATCCATCAAAAAAACCCTGGGCTCCATAATCCCTGCCAACACAGTCTGAAAAAGCTCTAATCTCCAAAACCTTCATATAGAGATGGTAAAATGTCACTATGTGTCTGGTGGGATTCAAACCCATGACCTCAGCATGATAGCCAAGACACATACTAGAGTGCGGTATTTTACCACCAGCACCACAGGCAAGGAGCTGATGCTACACATGCAGTGTCATGCAGATGCTACAGTACTGGGCTGTAGCATCAACTGCTACAGTACTGTATTTTTTGCAGCATCAGCTGCCATCATGTAGCATCACCTGCTCTCACTCACCATCCTCAATGATAACTTTTATCATCAATATCAACACATCTCAGGTTCCTGGACCCTTCTACCATCAGCCTTGAACTCAAACATGGCTAATGTCAAACCCCCTGCCCTATCAAAATCAGGAATGCATCAAAGTCAAACATCCAGAATCATCTGAAGATGATGTCAATGAACATGTGGGAAATCACTGCTTTCAAACATGAATATCTCTTTTCATCACCTCAAGTTGTTGTCCATATGATTCTTAATGATAGCAATATATATGTATTTCAAGGGAAGATGGATGACTACTACCACAGAACCAAAGAAATCTGGAGTGAGAGAAAAGTGTACAGTTTTATATAAGAGTAGGTCAATAAAAAAGTTAACAAAACTGGTGTAGTAATGTTTTCAAACCAAAAAATTCATATCTAGTGCAATTAAATGAGTCCCCTCCTTCTTCTAGTGCTTACAACTACTGCCCAACCAGCACCTCCACTAAGCTCTGGAAACTCAAGTCTGCAACCAGCCTCCAGAACCAGTAAGAAGCCCACTTGGACAAGCTGTCAGCCTATCTCTATAAGAAATGGGTAAATAACCATGAAACTCAAGATAGCTACTATGGATATTAGTTGTAAAGTGTGGATATGTTCACAATCAACTTTTTAAAGCCTTATCTGAATATATCAGGCTTAATAAGAAAACAAATCTATTTGTATTTCTCTTCACTGACTCTTATTGGCCATGGCAATCACTCTAGGTGAGATTTTGGTTCACCAATGTAGTGTAACAGGGATTGATTAACCCAGGGTTGGTTTAAAGGTTATAGAGTGTCCAAGTAATCAGTACTTGATCCAGAAACACATCTAAAGTTATATATAAAAGGGAAGACAAATCAACTAACTCTTGTTTTACTTCTAGAGGGTGGATTTGTCAAAATATAGAGTATTTGGATGAGGTAGAGATCTAGGATATATAATCAAGCAAGAAATCAATCAAGTACTCTAACAAAGAAGGGTGATCATGAAATTAGACTTCTAGAAATGGAAACAGACAACTCTACTAATAATCCTTGGAATATAAGAGGGGTATGTTATATGTATACTTTTAAGTATAGGTATTTCTTTATTGAAGTGATAAGTGATGATCTGTAATTACCATGAGCATAAGGGTACTCTTTTATAGATGTTTTGAGGCCTGGAGGGTACTCACAATTTTGTGTATCCAATTCAAATCAAGGACTTTCTCATTGTAGAGTACATTTGATTTCCTGATTTTGTGATTACAGTAGTTATTTAACTAGTAGTTTGAATCTATCTTGTTTGGACCAATAATGACCTTTTTATTACTCGAGGTCAAGAATGGAATGAACACCTGCAGTTTGGTTGTTGACAAGCTAGATTAATTCCCTCATGAAATATTGTATTTAAGGTATTTCAAATGTTATTTCATATGTACTATGTGTAGTTCTTTATTTGTACTACTGTACATGGTGTGAAAGGTTCACATGAATGTTCCTGTACCCCTCAAGGTTGAATTACATACCTGATAGTTGATCTGTCAATAAAGCAACTATATGTAATCTTTTATATTACTTGAGGATCTGTATACAATCTACAGTACTGTATTACACATGTCACTAGTACAACTACAGTACATATGATGAAATTTCCTCAGAGTAAAACATATGTTTAATTAATGGAACTGTCATTATTCCAACTGTAGCTCTAAAACTACACTAGCTAGTCTGTATTGAAGTTTTACAGTACATTTCTTTGAGATATGTTGTTTGTATTGGTGCTTTTTTAAATGATAGAATTATCACTTAACTCTAAAATAAGACTATAGGTTTTTTAACCCATAGAGTTCAAATCTACAATAATATTACACTTAATACTTATCCATTTTAAGTGTATGTGTCCATGTAACATATTTACACATGGTTTACAGTATGACTTATGCTTTTTCTGTGTTTCCTGTACTAGGTGACTATAGGTTTTTTTACATGTAGTTTTCATTACTGTAATAATAACATGTAGTTCACATATGGTGAACATATGTAATAGTTACAGTAACATATTCATGCATATGTTACAGTATTAAGTACAACTCTTCTGTCTTAGTTGTAATATGCAGCTATATGTAATATTACATGTAGAATCCATTTCTGTAATAATAATCCTCAGTTGTTAAGTACAGTTTTGTGTTTATACTCTTGAAACTGAGTATGAGTTGTAATCACTGCCAAGATATTTGCATCACATGGAAGCTTGCTATGTAACATAGCATGTCTTCATGTGATACTACACTGCCAAGATATTTGTATTGGATGGGCCTATCCGATGT